AAAAATAATATAATATGTTATAAATGTTATGTTACAAAAATAATATAATATGTTATAAATGTTATGTTATAAAAAAATATAATGTGTTATAAAAATAATATAATGTGTTATAAAAATAATATAATGTGTTATAAAACAATATAATGTGTTAGAAATGTTATAATGTGTTATAAAAATAATATAATATGTTATAAAAATAACACAATAAAAAATACAAAGAATTTGTGCTCTTACCCACAGAGCCTCCAGCAGAAAGCTGACAGAACTCAAAGAGCCCATCAAACACAGGGCAGTCCTCCCCTACATTAACTGGAACAGAATGGAAAAGATTTATTAAAATAAAAGCAGCAATAAAATCAGAATTTTACAAATTTGGATTTTTTGAAAGTGGCCAGAAGTGTGAAACAAAATGGTGCAATGGAAATGTGGGGCTGACTTCAAATCACACAGCTCTGGGTTCTCAGCACAACTGCAGTTTCAGCCTCAATCAATTTTTGCTGTAATTAATTAGCTGTTAAAAATAATCACTCATTACCAGAAATTAAACTTCAGGCCCTTTAGTTTTACTCTGGCATGCAAAAATGGAATTACAGACTTTCATCCCCATGAATGAAGAAAAGCTCTGTGCTTTACATGTTTAATTTTTATATTTTGGTTTTTTTCAGGAATAAAATCAGCACAGAAAACCCAGAGAGAGCTGAGGGTTCATGAGAAAATCCTTCAAATTTGGGTTAAAATTGAGGATTTGGGGTTTTTTAATTTGCTGGTTTTAAAGCAACAAATTTGGGTTTTGGTGTTGTTTAATTTTGCTGGTTTTAAATTTGTTGGGTTTTAAAGCAATAAATTTGGGTTTGGGGGTTTTTTATTTTACTGGTTTTAAATTTGTTGGGTTTTAAGGCAACAAATTTGGGTTTTGGGGGTTTTTTATTTTGCTGGTTTTAAAGCAATAAATTTGGGGTTTGGGGGTTTTTTTAATTTGCTGGTTTTAAAGCAATAAATTTGGGTTTTGGGTTTTTTTTTAATTTTGCTGGTTTTAAAGCAATAAATTTGGGTTTTGGGG